CTCATCCTCTTCCTCCTCCTCCTCCTCTCTGGTGTCCTCGACCTTTTCAATCACATCTCTCTGGATCCATTGTTCCAAAACTGAATGAACTGACTTGGGCTCTTTTATCTATCTATTGAAGGTTCTGATTGGTGTGTGATAAATTTTGACTCTTAGTGTTTCCACGTGGGTAACTGTGTGCTAATTGAGCTCAAGCTATGCTGACTTGAGTGAACAATATTGAATGCTAGTGCTTTCTAAATGACAACATGGTCTAGGCAATGAGAAATGAAGGGATTTGTGTGTAGAGTTTTGCAGTGACAGTTCAACAAATCTGATTCATGTGTCAAAAAGGGGAATAGTGTTTATAGTTTAGGGAAATAGGTGTGCTTTTTGATAAATGGCGTTATGGTTTTGAAATTTTTGTTCAAAAGCCTGGTGATAGTGTTTAAGCAATCGAGAAAAACTGTAATGCAACATTTATATAACATTTAATTATAATGTTATTTATAATAACATTATTCCACCCCTACCTTCATTTGACATCCTTTGTAATTGTAGACCTGATGCAATGTCTGTCGACTCTGGGAAAAAAAAACAATCAACCAATCAATCATTTATTTATTTATTTGTATTTTATTTTGTGTGTGTGTGTGTGTGTGTTTTAATTAAATTTTGGCCAAAAGATGGAGTCCAAGTCAAATGCACCTGTTTCTTTTCTAATGTTTCTTCTCCTTCTCCTGCTTTTCCAGCCAATCGTCACAGACAGAAGGCCAACACAAACCATCGCCAGTATGCACAAAGCCAGCAGGACGGCCACTGTCACTAAACACACACACGTTCATGTTTTACAGACCGTACAGTTTATGAAGCCAGGAGATTTTTTTTTTTTACTTTGAGCTACATTGAGATCAGATGTTTGTCTAGTACTATAACATGGTAAAGAAAATCTAAAAAGAAAAACATGGTGCACTTTGATGTTTTTACAGGCTGGCGCTTGACATTCTCTTGTAGTATGCAGAAATCATTGTTCTATCTATAAGTGTCCTGCTCCAGCTCTAGGCCGGACCATTATACTGCCCGCACAGCGTTTTACGGCTGGATGAGTTTCTTATTACTGAATGCAGTGTTTGGTGTTTTGTACGAAACATTGTTTCTGTAGTCATGTGGCAAATTTTAGACGTGCAGGAATGTTCTTCTAAGAGTGCAGTGGCTTCCTCACTACTATCCTGCCACATACATCTGATGAACATCACTAACATTAGCCAATGCAGAGAGCTGAACTCTTACGGTAGGGCAGAGCTGTTCAACTCTCACCTGTTTTATCTTCTTTCCTGAAACCACGGGCTGCAGTTACCTCTTTAAATAGACTGATAATCCTAGAGGTTCACATACTTTCTGCAGCACAGATGTTTACGCGTCTCTCCTTTTCCTGTAGATTTGTGTAATGTTTGTCTAATTGGATTCTCTTTGTCTAGTTATAGAATGAAATTCAAATTCGATATGGGTTGAATTTATACAGAAATACAGAAAATACTTAAGAGCTCACAGACTTTCTCGTGCAACTAGTGGAAAAATTAACAGAACTTACGATATTTATTTATATCTGGACTGCTGTTTTCAATTTCAGTCGATTCTGTGAAAAAGAAACATACAATCTTATTCCATTACACTGTCTAGAAAATAAAACATTTTGTATACTGAGAATTGTAATACTTTCAATGCATGGATTCATGTCACGTGTTGCAGTGTCAATACATTAGATAACATGATATCAAAGCAAGTGATATTTTAAAGAATGATAATACACAGACACTTTTTTTAGGTTTGAAGATATGTTGCATTGAGACATTCTGTGATTGTGATATGTTGGAACATGTTCACAGTTGATGTGATGATCTACACCTGGTTCCTCTGTTTGGACACCTGTGTGAACTTCATCCACTAAAATCACCAAAACACAGCTGATTCAGTGGCACTGGAAAACGGTTCAGAAAAGTCGAGAGTTGTAAGGTACCAACTCTCAGAATAGATTGGCATGGCTATCGATATGATGATGTCAATGTGTTAACAGAATAGATCTGCTACACTGCTTCTGCTGCCGTACAGAGACTTGCTACCGCCAAAACAGCCACAGACCTGCTGCACATTTAACATACATGAAATCACCCCTAAAGCAGGATGCGCAAGAAATGAACAATACAAGCCAATATATCCGCATGCTGCTAAGCATATGTAAAACAAGCTGTCGCATCAGAAGTCATCCCCACACATGGAATGGCAGTAAACATGACAGGACAGGACAATATTATAGCCCCCCAAAACAAAAATACAGAAATTGTATCCTCCGCTGAAGAAAGAAAGAAAGCCGCGTCAGATCGCACTGTTCTTCTGAGGTAAATTCCGGCTTATTCCTCAAAGCAGGTCTTCTTCCAAAAACAATGAAAAGTAGATGAATCTATTATTATTATTATTATTATTATTTTAATCTATTTTTGTAGGTGAGGAAGATGTTTGCACACAGGTGTGACTGCAGATATTGAGTTCAGAGACAGGAAAGACTTCCTCGCTTTAGTTTTTTAAACGTATTTGTAACGGAAGAGGTCTGACACAACAGGTTAGTATATATAAAACAGGTTTATTTGGTCACAGAGAGTACTGGGGTAGGATCCAGAGGATGTGATGGTGAATGAATAGTTCGAAGGATATGATGAGTGGGGGAATCCGAGTCTTTGGCTTTACAGGAGCTGGAATGTAGGCAGGAGGAGCACACACCTCAGCGATCCTTGAACAAGGAGGAACAGGAGACGAGGAGACACTAGGAGGAACACAGGAGGTAAGTAATGCAGGAAGTATTCAAATGGAAGTAGTAGCAAAGTCATTGAGTCCTCTACGTCTATACGAGACCGGACAGTGAGGGTGTCTGAGGTGTGTGCTTTTATGCAGGCTGGTTGATGAGGTGCTTGATAGGTGACAGGTGCAGGTGCTCAGAACTCAGGTGAGAGGGATCGTTGTGATTGGGTGGTGGTGGAGCCTGGCCGATCTGTTACAGTATTACATAATCAGAGAATATTCTTTTTCAATTTGAGTTGGTTCATTTAAAAGTAGACACCTCAAGCTTTCTATATCTCTCATGGCTGTGTGTGTCAAGCATTCGCTGAGTTTCGGTTCATTTTTGTGACACGTTGCAGATAGAAGTTCACGGAAACTGAGACGACTGAAAGCGCACCCTGTTTGTTTTCTTTATTTTACAAAAGCACAGTGTTTTGTTGTTATTGTCAGTTTACACATATCAAAGTATACCCTTTTTAGATTCGATAGATTTTAGTCTTATCTACTGTATCTGAGTATATTAGGTTATTTTCTCTATCAGAAAATACTGCAAGTAAATGCGCCAACGCAAAGAGCGTTAAAGACGCTGCATTCAATTTTAGACGATACATTTAGATTTCAAGTTCAATATTGATTTTAGAACAGCTGAAATTATTTTCAGTATGTAACGCAAGCACTTTAGATGTAACCAATTAAATTACATAAAAATGAGCAGTAATCCCTTACTTTACTTTTTCAGTGGATAAGTAATTTAATTACAGTAACACGTTACACCCAACACTGTTCCTCAGGGATCTGTTCTTGGACCCCTCCTCTTCTCCATATACACTACATCACTGGGTCCCATCATACAGGCACATGGCTTCTCCTACCATTGCTATGCTGATGATACACAGCTGTATCTTTCATTTCAACCAGATGATCCAACAGTAACTGTACGGATCTCAGACTGCCTGGCAGATATCTCGGCATGGATGAAAGAACATCACCTACAGCTCAACCTGGCAAAGACTGAGCTTCTTGTCTTCCCTGCCACTCCAACTCTACAACATGATTTCACCATCCAGCTAGGTTCTTCTACAATTACCCCATCAACTTCGTTCAGAAATCTTGGTGTAATCTTTGATGGCCAAGTCATTCTAGCAGCTTTATTTTCTTTCTCTGAAACCAATTCCTTGGCTGTGTTTGGGATCATTGCCTTGCTGAAATGTCCACCCTTGTTTCATCTTCATCATCCTGGTACTGTAGGTGTTGGGAAGCAGCTAATATTAATTTCCACTGACAAGGGGCAGGAATGCTTTCTAGTTACTGATAGATTTCAGCTGGTGTCTTGGCTTTCCATGCCTTGTTGCACCTCCCTTTCTTCATGCGTTCAATACTTTTTCCTTGTGTCATTGCATTTTATTACACATAACTTAATTTCTAAACTTATTTGTTTTGTTTTCTTTGTATGTATGGATTACTTGGGTTGTTGTTGACATCTGGTGAAAATTCCATGTCAACAACACCTTTAGAAACATATTTACTGAGAAAAATGGTGACGTGTTCAATACTTATTTTACCCGCTGTATGTTTTGGGGACACCTTTTTATTGCATGGTATCAATACCCTAGGGAAATTCCTATCATAATAGAAATGTAATAGAAATTGTACTGTATATTGAGTGTTGATATTGTGCTCAGTGCTACCTGTGGTCACCGTAAGGAAAGCCATCTCTCTGTTGTTGCACAGATAAAGCCCAGAGTCCTGCAGCTGGAGATTGGAGATAATCAGGTGGTTGATGGTATGAGTGAATCTTAATGTTGGATCAGCTCTCTCTTTCTTTACGGTGCTGTTTTTATAAAGCGTGGAGATGAACTCTTTTCTGGACTGAGGAGTGCGTTTGAATGCCCATCTCTGCTTCATTTTATCAGACGTCTTACATGGCAGATAAACAGTTGTGCCCTCAGGAACTGTAAAGTTATGGCCTGGAAAGAAAGAAAAAGAAAGAAAGAAAGAAAGAAAGAATGATTAATTCAAGAAAGCTTATGTAAGAAGAAAACAACTCTAAGAACACATACAAAGTAAGAAGAAAAGAAATGAATGCATACAGGTTTGTGTACAGTGTAAATGACGCTGAAGTGTTTGTCTTCTGCTGACTTGAAATATATTGCATGATTGACATTAACTATTTTTATGCTACGCTCATGGTGCTTTTTTGTCCTTTTTGGGTCTTGGCAACCTGTGGTCACAGTATGCTTTCAAAATTGAGTCTTTTGTATTCCCACAGAAGAAAGAAAATAGCGTGAGTTTGGAAAGACATGCCACAACTAAAATACCTTTGAGCACAGTGATATCTGCCACTAGCTGATGGTTGCAGTAATATTCTCCTGCGTCTGACTCCTGCAGGTCTTTAATGGAGAGCTGGCCGTCTTCAAGCAGCTGGTGTTTGCTTTGGTCCAGGTAAGACACCTGCTTTCCTCGTCTAGAGGCGATCACCCTTTCCAGCCCATGGCTCCAGTCAACATATGGAGCGTCAGAACACATCAGGACAAGAAAATGCTTTTCTGGGGCGCTCAGCTTTTGCACTGAGAAAGGTGAAAGGTCAGAGATTATACGCTCACATTTCACATTTAAATGTAACATCAGTCTTTAATGCATTGCTTTCCTTAAACTGTCATATGCCCATGGGTTTACATGAGGTGAGAAATTAATATCAAGTGGGCTGTTTTTACTTGCACTCTACACCTCACAATCCACCAAAACTCACTCATTATAACACCTTCATGACAGCAAATTATGGGCGAGCACCAAACAACACACATATTTTCTTTGCAAATTTTAAATAGCTTAGTATAGTATTTGAAATATTTTGTAATGCTAAATGGGAAATGGCTTTATTGATTGCAACATGAGTAATAATCTAAAACACCTTATTGCTATAGCAAGCAAAGGGAGGTTGTTCTGTAAAGGAATTACTGATAGATTTCAGCTGGTGTCTTGGCTTTCCATGCCTTGTTGCACCTCCCTTTCTTCATGCGTTCAATACTTTTTCCTTGTGTCATTGCATTTTATTACACATAACTTAATTTCTAAACTTATTTGTTTTGTTTTCTTTGTATGTATGGATTACTTGGGTTGTTGTTGACATCTGGTGAAAATTCCATGTCAACAACACCTTTAGAAACATATTTACTGAGAAAAATGGTGACGTGTTCAATACTTATTTTACCCGCTGTATGTTTTGGGGACACCTTTTTATTGCATGGTATCAATACCCTAGGGAAATTCCTATCATAATAGAAATGTAATAGAAATTGTACTGTATATTGAGTGTTGATATTGTGCTCAGTGCTACCTGTGGTCACCGTAAGGAAAGCCATCTCTCTGTTGTTGCACAGATAAAGCCCAGAGTCCTGCAGCTGGAGATTGGAGATAATCAGGTGGTTGATGGTATGAGTGAATCTTAATGTTGGATCAGCTCTCTCTTTCTTTACGGTGCTGTTTTTATAAAGCGTGGAGATGAACTCTTTTCTGGACTGAGGAGTGCGTTTGAATGCCCATCTCTGCTTCATTTTATCAGACGTCTTACATGGCAGATAAACAGTTGTGCCCTCAGGAACTGTAAAGTTATGGCCTGGAAAGAAAGAAAAAGAAAGAAAGAAAGCAAGAAAGAAAGAAAGAAAGAAAGAATGATTAATTCAAGAAAGCTTATGTAAGAAGAAAACAACTCTAAGAACACATACAAAGTAAGAAGAAAAGAAATGAATGCATACAGGTTTGTGTACAGTGTAAATGACGCTGAAGTGTTTGTCTTCTGCTGACTTGAAATATATTGCATGATTGACATTAACTATTTTTATGCTACGCTCATGGTGCTTTTTTGTCCTTTTTGGGTCTTGGCAACCTGTGGTCACAGTATGCTTTCAAAATTGAGTCTTTTGTATTCCCACAGAAGAAAGAAAATAGCGTGAGTTTGGAAAGACATGCCACAACTAAAATACCTTTGAGCACAGTGATATCTGCCACTAGCTGATGGTTGCAGTAATATTCTCCTGCGTCTGACTCCTGCAGGTCTTTAATGGAGAGCTGGCCGTCTTCAAGCAGCTGGTGTTTGCTTTGGTCCAGGTAAGACACCTGCTTTCCTCGTCTAGAGGCGATCACCCTTTCCAGCCCATGGCTCCAGTCAACATATGGAGCGTCAGAACACATCAGGACAAGAAAATGCTTTTCTGGGGCGCTCAGCTTTTGCACTGAGAAAGGTGAAAGGTCAGAGATTATACGCTCACATTTCACATTTAAATGTAACATCAGTCTTTAATGCATTGCTTTCCTTAAACTGTCATATGCCCATGGGTTTACATGAGGTGAGAAATTAATATCAAGTGGGCTGTTTTTACTTGCACTCTACACCTCACAATCCACCAAAACTCACTCATTATAACACCTTCATGACAGCAAATTATGGGCGAGCACCAAACAACACACATATTTTCTTTGCAAATTTTAAATAGCTTAGTATAGTATTTGAAATATTTTGTAATGCTAAATGGGAAATGGCTTTATTGATTGCAACATGAGTAATAATCTAAAACACCTTATTGCTATAGCAAGCAAAGGGAGGTTGTTCTGTAAAGGAACAGCCGACTCACTTTGATATGAACACACATTCAGAGCTGAGGCTGACTGGACTTCCTGAGTCTGCTCCTATTTATACCTTATCAGAAGGAAGTGTGTGGACAGTGGCTACGTTCCTGTGACTCCGTTTGAAATGGAAGTTAACATTGCTTTTTTTGTCTCTAAACTGATACCAGTTTTATATTTCTGAATAGGATATTTTGGATTAGGAATTTAGGTAAACTGGTCAGTAACCTGGTCAGAAGGGCTAGCTGTTTTATGTCTCTCATCATACACTAACATGCCTGCCTGTTATTAAATATTAAATGTCATGCATTTAGATTAAAGAGTTCACATAGAAATGAAAATTCTGTCATTTTCTCACTCTAAACTGAATGTCAGCATGTTTTTTTCTACATACAAAAAAACAAAAAAAAGTCCAGTGTTGTTTTGGACCCTGTGGTTCAAACATATTAATGAGCAGAGAATTCTGCAATGCTGGAAACAGTTATAATTAGAGAGGTTATACTTAATATGCAAAGGGGAAAAACAACATTGTCATGGCATTCTTAATTAAAAAGTCTGGCAACACTTTATTTTAAGGTGTCCTTGTTACACGTTACATTAGGGTGGCCCTTATTGAGGGGTGTATATATATATATATATATATATATATATATATATTAAATATTAAATGTCATGCATTTAGATTAAAGAGTTCACATAGAAATGAAAATTCTGTCATTTTCTCACTCTAAACTGAATGTCAGCATGTTTTTTTCTACATACAAAAAAACAAAAAAAAGTCCAGTGTTGTTTTGGACCCTGTGGTTCAAACATATTAATGAGCAGAGAATTCTGCAATGCTGGAAACAGTTATAATTAGAGAGGTTATACTTAATATGCAAAGGGGAAAAACAACATTGTCATGGCATTCTTAATTAAAAAGTCTGGCAACACTTTATTTTAAGGTGTCCTTGTTACACGTTACATTAGGGTGGCCGTTATTGGGGGGTGTATATATATATATATATATATATATATATTGGAAATGTTAACCTCTCTCACCCCCTCATTTGTTTCTCCACTAGAAGTAAGTAATGTATGCAAAATTCCATCCAGATAATTTGTCATTTAGGGTGTGCTCAAAGAATGTATCTTTTCAAAGTTTTTGTTCACTGATAATATGTTGAATGTTTCTGATGTCAGAGATGAGGGGCAGTTGTGGCCTAATGGTTAGAGTCAGACTTGTAATCTGAAGGTCACGGGTTCGAGTCTCGGTACCAGAAGGGATTGTATGTGGGGGGAGTGAATGACCAGCGCTCTCTTCTCTTCCACCCTCAATACCACAACTGAGGTGAGACCCTTGAGCTAGACACGATCCCCCAACTGCTCCAGGTGGTGTGTGTGTTCACGGTTTGTGGGGATGGGTTGAATGCAGAGCACAAAATCTGAGTATGGGTCACCATACTTGGCAACATGTCACGTCAATGGCAGAACATACGAGTGTTCATTCCTAGGTCTGCGAGCTGGGACTCAAACTCGGGACACCTGAAGCGCAATGTCCACAAAGCTATCGGCGAAAGTGTAATTTAACATTTTAAGACTAACAACTGTTCTGTGTTCTCGTTTTTGACATAATTCACAGTTTACTAATGGTTTTGTATAATTGTTTGGGCTGTCAGTTTATCGCGGTAACTTAATTAGTTAGTTATATAAAAAATTACGCAATTAAAATATTTTAACACAGTTAACGCACTGGCCCCGCCCCCAGACCTATACGTCATCTTACAGTTCATACAGTTGACTTTTGACAAATATGATGCAGGGCAACAACTCCATAAATGCATTTATGCCCTAAAATTCAAGATATTGGTGCAAAAATGCCCCTGTATGTGTTTTTGTCTCATATTTATATCATACGATAAGCGATATCACACGAGCACCGAGAGCAATATCAAATGCGTGCTGTTTGTCCCGAATATCACAAGTTTAAATGTGAATTTATACAACAGTTCAGAAAATAAGAATTTGATATTGTTATATTTTAAACACAATATTATGTGTTTAATCAATATTATTATGATTATGTGCAAATAATATATTCCCTTTAAAGCCATAGCAGGATTGTTGTGCGTCTCTGAGCAACACAGCAGTGTTTAGTTTCTGAATCAATCTGCGTTTTGAACGGATTAAGAATACATTATATTATATATTATATATATTAAGAATTTCAACTTTGTTGAGCACACCCTAAATGTAGTCCAATCTCTGCAAAATTTGGTTTGTTTCCATTTCTCATTAACTGGGAGGGTGAGAGCAGAAGATTTCAAAAGTCCAAAAATAAGGGCCACCCTAATGTTACATTTACTTACTACTGTAATAACAATAAATTGTGCATAATTACATGCAAGTAACACTAAGCCAAACCCTAATCCTAACCGTAACCATATAGTAAGTACATATAGTTAATTAATATTACTCAGTACTTAAACATATAATTACACTGTAACAAGGACACCTTAATAGAATGAAAAGTGAAAAATAAAGTGTAACCAAAAGTCTTTTCAAATGTATTAAGAGTGCCATGGCGATGCTGATTATTAGTTGTTTTAGACCCTTTTTACTTTCATTATAAGGCAAAAACTAAACATTTGTTCAGCAGAAGAAATTCATACAGGCTTGATGAATAAATGGGTAACACTTTATTTCGATAGTCCACTTTAGACATTCTATTAACAGTAAGTAACTTTGCAGCTACATGTCAACTAGCAGTTAGTAGAGTATTAGTAGACTGTCTGCTTAATATCTTCTAACACTTTCTTTGTCAACTTATTCTACTAACCCTAAACCTACCCTAACAGTCTACTCTGAGAGTTAGTAGACATGTAGTTGCAAATTAATGAGAATTAGTTGACATGTAGTTACAAAGTTACTTATAGTTAATAGAATGTCTAAAGTGGACTATTGAAATAAAGTGTAACCAATAAATGCTGACAGAGTGATCAGTTTTGTGTTGAACTGTCCTTTTTAATGTCTCAGTAATAGTGAAAGATTATTTAATACAGTAGCTTTACTATTTAAGTGCATAACTACTTTTTACTATTTACATAAAAGTGCATCATACTTTCATATGCTCATAAATGATAACACATCAGACTGTTCCACTGCAGATTTTATGAATATATTAGTACTGAGATCATCAAAGACAATAGCTTATTCTGTTGCATTTCTAACATAAAGATCAACTGCTGACAACAACAGCGAAGCAGTTGAGCAAAAAAACAAGAAATGGATTTAGATTCAGTCGTTTGTTTTACCTGAAGTGTCCTCTTTGGTCAGATGTAAAATAAAGAGAAATATCCAGGTTAGAATAAGGTTTCTCATTGCTGTGACTAAACCAGTCCAGTGTTCATATGACTGACTAGACTGTCTCTCTCTTTCCACTTGATCCCAAAAGCTTCCTTCTTGGGTGTGTGTTTTAGAGAGAGAGAGAGTGTGTGTGTGTGTGTGTGTGTGTGTGTGTGTGTGTGTGAGTGTTTTTTGGTCCAATAAGTAATATCTCTGTCTTATCTGAGTTTAATAGGAGAAAATTATTGGTCATACAGTCTTTTACATTTTTAACACATTCTGTTAGCTTAGATAATTTAGAAGTTTCATCTGGTCTTGTTGAGATATATAGTTGAGTATCATCGGCATAACAGTGGAAACTAATCCCATATTTTCTAATAATATTACCAAGGGGCAACATGTATATCGAAAATAGCAGAGGACCTAGGACAGATCCTTGTGGCACTCCATATAGTGTGTGTGTGTGTGTGTGTGGAAGGAATGGTGTCATGAATTGCATGAATTGAGTCGAGAGCTCTGGAAAAATCAAGTATATCAGTAACAAGATGGAAGAAATTGTCATATGATGAAATTTGCCCTGACATAAAGACAGACACTACTGCAACCTCATGAATTATGTTTATACAATTTGAACTACTTGTACTAATAGAAAATGTAAAATTTTGTGTCTTTTCTCAAATGACCAAATGATTCATGATGTTCCAGATCAAAAGTGTCAACTGTTTTGGAATGAAAAGTAACATTTGATAGAGCAACAGCATCTCACTTACATTCCCAGCTGACAGAAATGACAAGCGTTTCAGCATCACTCTGTATCTTTCTCTTCTAATGAAGCTGCAAAGACATGAACAAGACGTTTTGTAAGCCCCAGCCATTTTGGATACTTAAATCAGATTTAACATGAATGTTATTGCATTAGATACAAAATATCAAAACAACATCCTCTGTAAAATAATTTAAAAAAATTATTGCAGCACCTTTTCTCAGATTCACACCATATTTGCAATGCCTGTAATCATCTGGCGTCACTGTGAGGTTCTTTACCCTGATGTATTAAACACGTTACAGATTCAAGTTCACACAGGTTTTCTTCTTTTAAAAGATATTGTATAGTACAATGTTTTTAGTGATGTGTTTATACTGAAATGCAGTGAATGTCAGTGTCATGGAGCGTGGTCAGTAGAGGTCGTTCTCATGTAAAACATGTTAGCTTTCCTCTGAGTAACTGCTGATGAAGGGATGGATGTCTGTCTGCTTCAGACTTACTGCATCTGGGAATAACAGACAATAATGTTGACGCTGCACCACAATACTACAGCCACACTTTTACACAACATAGAAATGATTATTAAGATGAAACTTTCAGCACCTTTGCATGCAGTAGGATCTGTTATTTGATGAAGATGGAGTACAATGTATCTAAATATATATGATCCTTGGCTTGCAGCGGGTAAGTTGCTTCATTTTGTACTAAAGTTGTCCTTTAAGGCAAAAAATAAGACAGACATAAAAACTAAAACATCTGACTTAATTATATTGTTGTCAACTGAATTTACAAGAACTTATCTACAACACAGGGCTAAAGAAATGGAAAAAGAAAAAGAAACAGGGAAGTGACACAACTTTAGAAGCCCAATGTTAGAAGTGAGCTGTGTCATGTCAAAGCATTAGCTCCATCACGGAAAATGTGTGAATGATTTCACGTCTGAAACAATAGAAAATAACACAATATACACATATATGCAAAACAATCAAACATTTGGACACTGGTTCATTCTTTATTATTTCTATTTTTGTTCACATTTTAGAACAATAATAAAGTCATCAAAACTGCATGTGAATGGGGGAAGTTCAACACAACTCTTCCAGTGTGTCACATCACTGTCACCATCTACTGGAAGATGTTTGAAACTGAAAATATATGACATAACCTGCAAGCCATTCAGTTCACTACCAGAGATCTCCATCTCAACAATTCTGATCATCCACCCTTTCTGGAAGTATGGGTCTCAGCGGGAGATTAGGAAGGTTTTGTCACCACACTGTCTCTTGAGCAGTGGGACAAAACAGAGTGCAGTACTGAAAAAAATCAAAGCTTGTACTCAGACAAATGAAACTACATTTATGTCTTATGCATACTAAGCTACTGAGCTATGCTTTGATTCAACCTCCCAACTTTTCTCTTTTTTATCAAAATGTGCTTCTTACCTTGCCATCGCTTATTCTGTGTCAACACCATCAGACACCAAAACACAAATTCATTTTCACTCACATTATGCAAGACCTATAAGAAGTACAGTAAACACTAATTTTTACCAAGGCTGGAACGCTTTATAATCCATTAATAAATCATTAACAAACAATAAATAATGTTTAACTAATCATTACTTAATATATATTCAAATGTCTAGAAATATGAGATAATGTGCTCATTAGTTAATGTTTACAAATGTCATTAAACTTTCAATGCGTTTTAAAAATCTACAAAAGATTTTAACAGAGATTACGCAATGATTACAAGTTTATTTGTTAATGTACTTTTGAAAGCTTATAAATGTCATTAAACTTCAGTTCCATTCATTATTAATAAATCATTAACAAACATTATATAATGTTTAACTCATCATTACTTAATATATATTCACATATCTAAATATGAGATAATGTGCTTGTTAATGTTAACTAATGAACTTATTCAACATTACCAAATTATTAACAGATCATTATTTAATATAAATTGAAATGCTTATGAATGTCATTAAACTTTCAATTCATATGATCATGGATTTAAAAAAAAAAATTTCAAATTATTTTGACAGATGGTTTACAATGATTAAAAGCTTCATTAATAAATCATTAACAAACATTATATAATGCTTAACTGGTCATTCGTTAATGTTTACAAATGTCATTAAACTTTCAATGCGTTTTAAAAATCTACAAAAGATTTTAACAGAGATTACGCAATGATTACAAGTTTATTTGTTAATGTACTTTTGAAAGCTTATAAATGTCATTAAACTTCAGTTCACATATTAGCTAATGCTCATTTTTACATTTACAAATGTTGTGAAAATATAGCTTAATTATTAATTGTAAGAACTTCACAAACTATTCATGTTAATATAATCATTAACTCATCACAGTCTGTAAAGGTCATATATTCTACTATTTTCACATCTTAAATCATTTATTAATTACTTGTTAATGTTCTTGCAGTACCCAATATAAAGTGGAAACTATTCATCAATTGTAAATGTTTATAAACATTTACTAATCATTAGTACCTTTATGAACAGTTATTTTGATGGCAAAAAGTATCCCAAATGACCAGAATTTACCCCATTTTCACATATTTACAAATCATTCATTAATCATTTGTTCATGTTTTTGCAGTACTCAATCTAAAGTGGAGACTATTCATCATTTGTAAATGTTTATAAACATTTATTATGTTTTTAGTATCTTTATTGGCACTGGACTTTTAGCTACTGTAACAATGTTTGTGTAAAGGGTGATTAGTTATAGCTCAATGCTTGCTAAAGACATATTGCAATTTGGGTGCAAAACATATATTTATTACCTCAACACTTATATTACTATACTATTGTGTATCATTAAACATAATATTTGAATCATACATCAACAGGAGGGGAAAAAACTCAAAGAAATTACTTAATTTATCATTTATCAAAACAATGCAATATAAACAGATTGAATCATGTTCCCTTATAGTAATCCAATTGACCCCTGTACACTTGTTGACCCCTTAACTAACCTTTAACCTAACCATACACCAAACCTGAGCCTAACCTTACCTGTATCACACCTCAACAGCAGCAAACGTGTTGTGCATTAACACAAGCTTTTAATCATTGAATAACATCTGTTAAATGTGCATGATTATATTAATTAGAAGTTTAATGACATTTGTAAGCATTAGCTCCAGCATCTCTGTGTCCTTACATAGGATAAGCGTTTTGGAGAATGGCTGAACAAATGTAATTAACTTAAATGGCCGATTTCACCTAAAATCAGTTTAGAATCATGAACAATATTTATCCAGCAGCTGTCAGATACAGGGAGACATGCAAAACGTGCCGTTCTGTGATCCCCAGAAACACTGCGGTGGAAAACAGAGGAATTTTAACAGATAGAGACAAGTACTTTTCCAGAGAGGCAACAGCATAAAGTAGGTTAGTTCTTAGTAGATGAAGCAATGTCTACTCTCATTATTTCTCTCTAGTGGCTTTTTTGCTTCTTTGTTGAAGCTCATTCTGACACACTTGAGACTATTTTCATAAGTAAAAATCTGAAATGAGTCTGCCATCAGTTTTTGGTTACTTTCTTTCCATCTACACAGATCAGCCACAACATTAAAACTACAGACAGGTGAAGTGAATAATATTCATAACATAATGGCAAATCTCAAGGGGTGGCATCACAGTTTGCTTGTGTATAGGGCTGTGTAGCCCAAGGGGTCAGTTTTAGCATTCACTTTGACACCTACCTAAAAACCTTGTAAGTCTTTCATGGCAGCTGTGTTCCTGATGGCAGTGGCCTCTTTCTATAGGATAATGCACCCTGACACACTGCGGAAACTCTTCAGGAATGGTTTGAGGAACATGACAGAGTTCAAGGTGTTGCCTTAACCAACAAATCCAATGCATGGAGGCATGTGTGCATGTGAATGTGTGTGAGCCCTGTGACGGACATGCCACCCATCCAGGGTGTTTCCCCGCCCATGGCCGAGACACTGGGAAATACGCCAGCATTCCCGTCACCCTACAGAGTACAAGTGGTTTAGAGAATGGATGGATGAAATCTGCATTTAATATGATTCAATAATGACAGGCATCCTGTTTCCCCTCTCTTCTTCTTTCATCCTCCTATTCTTCAAAAATTCATATTAGGTGGACAAATCAATAAGTCTCATAAAAAGTACAGGGTCGGAGTCTGTTAAGAATTGGCAGAAAATCTAAGATAGCGTAACCAGATAAGGGTTGGCCCAACTTCTGTTGTCCACTTGAAAGTGAACGGACAGGCATGTGAAGTCTTGCTAGACAGTACCTCGCAAGTTACAGTCTTTTTTGAAGCCTGGTACAAATGGCATCTGTCTGACACTCCCATCCACCCCATCGGGCTTAAGTCCAGTTTTCCCTTATTTGGCATATGCTACCAAACCCTGGTTATTCTGGGCACCAATATAAGCCTTTTCAAGAGCTTGGCCCGGCTGTGTAAAGAAAGTGCTGGGGTGGACATTGTGCAGACTTTGGAAATAAATGTTGGTCATGAGACAAAGCTAAGGTCTGCATTGAGGTCCTGGCTCCTTGTCTTTGTCTCCTGGATGGTATGGCTTGGCGGTCATGCACCCACTCAACAAGGTAAAAAGCTTTGCAAAGACTAATCCAATACCTACCTGAAAGAGTCTGAACCTTTCGGAGACAGGTGGAATCAGTCTTGCATGGATGCTTTTCACCAAATTATTCAGTGTCTCGCTATTGTCCCAGTCTTTGCAGACTCCTACAAACCCTACATCTTGCATGCAGATGCCAGTCTAAAAGGGCTAGGCGTTGTATTATATCAGGGGCATTTCTCCAGTCTGCAGCCTATATTATTTGCAATTAGAAAACTGAGCAATTCAGAGAAGAGATATCCTATCCACCAGTTGGAATTTCTTTCAATGAACTCGGCAGTCATGGATAAATGGATGGAGACAAATTCACCATATGTAATGACAATAATCGAATCACATGTGTTCTTACCACTGCAAAGCTTAATGCCACTGACTGGACATCACTGGCTAATGCCCAACCTCATGTGACTTTGATGTGTTGTACAGGCCAGACAAGAACAATATTGATGTGCATTTGCTGTCCCGAAACCTGGCCAAGCGACTTGGAGCTTGCTGTGTAGGCTTTTGTGCTCAACTGAGCTATGTCTTCTTGGAGCAGAAATCCATGCCTGAGTTGGTCAAAGCCCACAAGAGTAATGTTCTGAGACACGCAATTGAAGCTTTGAAGCACTGAAAGTGCACTACTGAGGTAAAAGTGAATTCTGAGTTGAGGCAGAATAGACTCATAATGAAGGACGGTTTGTTTTACAGAAACAGTAAAACACTCTCTGGAGAAGAAGTTTCCCTTCAGAGAGTCTGTGTGAAGTTGTCACATGATGAAATGGGTAATCTGGGCATAGAACGACCACTGATCTTGTCAGGTGTAGGTTCTACCTGGCCAAAATGACTTGTGATGTGGAACAATACATCAAGATTTGTGGGAAGTGCGTTACTCATAAAACACATTGCACTAAAGATGGGCCAATGCACCAGATTACTGGCAATGGACCAATGCATCTGATGTAGCCAAGATCTTAGTGGACGCTTGGTGCACTATGGCTGTACCATGAGAATCCATTCCTGCCGATGGAATAGAGGAAAGACAATATTCTCAGTTTGCTGCCAAGCTGAAAAGGGATATAAACAAAGCTTATCAACTTGCGTCAGAGGTTTCAAACAAAGTGCACTTGAGTAAAAAGAAAGCATATGACAAAAGAGTGAGTTTCTAGATAGACATCTTAGACATCTTGGTGATAGAGTGTTTCTGAAGAAAAGCACAAACTTCAGAGTCGATGGAGTTCTGTGCTATATTTGAGAAAATGCCCAACTTACCAGTGTACAAGGAGAAACCTGAACAGGTATGGGAATAAAACCAATCAGCACATAAGACCAGTCTCCCCAGGTTCTTGAAACACATTGTTCCTGTCACCAGTCATCGCTGCAGCTCCAGTCTATATGGCCACACGTTTGTCTTCACTACTCCCTTGACATAATGCTAATTAGTTCTTCAATAAAGTTTATGGTGTTTGGCCAGAGACTGCCTGAACACCAACAAATGTAACCCTGACCTGCCCAGGCTTTGCAGTCCTCAGGTACACATCTCTTCTTCAATAATAGTCTGCAGATCCATCTGTCATCACTCGGATGAATTTTGGAGTGGAAACACTCTCCCTTAACATTCCTCTCTCTTCCTCCAATATGCTGTGCATGAAGAACTTTTCTAGACCTTTCTGACTGTCAAGCCTAAAATGACACAAGTAAGAGTTAATTAGGGTTTGGTCTAATTTGAATTTTATTGATTCCAACTGCACTTCTGACTCTGCCTATCGATTCCGATTTTTATAGAATCTCACTTTCTATTCCAATGTGTAGATATCAAACATATTCATATTCTTTCTCTTTTTGCAAAACATTTTGACACCTCCGGTGACACCTCTTTTGCAGCAAATTAGCTTGCCACACATATTACACTTGGCTTTTTCGGCTTCTGACTTCGCAAAGTTTAGTCACACTTCAGAGCATTTTCTGCGGTCCATCGGGACTGATGTTACATAACATAAAATAGCAAGGAAGATTCTGCAGGTCGGATCCTCACAGATGGCGTGTGAAAAAAAAAAAAGCTGATTTGTATGAAAATGAGCATACAGGAAGCAATAAGCAGTCAAATTTATAATTTTATAACATACAATTCCAGAATTGGAATCAATTTTCAATGCCCAACTCTGAACTGAACAGCTGAAGTTAATATGTTTACATAGCTACATGTAAATACATACAAAACACACACACACACACACACACTGATAAACAAGTATTTTGCCAGTATTTTCGAGCTTACACTGGCTAATATAACTTGGCTAACATTTGATTACAAACAGTCTGTATCTGAAATCATATGTGACATTATTTGTAGAGTCATACACAAGCCACTTGGCACTGAAACTCCTAATTTTATTTCCTTGTGCTTCTTCGTTGCTTGGTGACACTTTCCTTTTAAGGCAAGTATCGCCACACGATTATTGTTAGTTGAGTCTTCGTTATTCCTTTAGAGGCTCGATTGCAGCTGGAGCTGTCAGGTGTTGCTTAGTGATGCTCAGATATGCACAGATGATGCACAGTTATGATATGTTTAATACATATTAATTTAAGGAAGAGAAGAGGACTTGCAGTAAATCTGTGCAGATTTGGCTTACACGAACAACCGGTGACTGAACATAATTTATTAATTTATTGTCAGTGTTACCCACCATGGTTGCCCGAATTTACTAATTCAGAATATGATTGAGGATTGCATATGAGGATGTTGTTGTTAAATTTAGACATTGAAAATTTAACATTTTAACTCTTGTCTTATAGAGATTAGTTCATTTTTAGTAAAATGGTTACAAATTCCAGTCACTGCTGCATACAACTTAAACACAGCTCTTCTATTATTAACTTGAAATAAAAAGGCATGTTTTATTTATTTTAGCAATACATGGAATGAGTAGTATGTCCAAATTCACTATTCATAAAACAGTGGGTGAAAAACACCTGATGACCTACTACCATTACTTCCACCAAGAGTCTTAAGTGCCACATGTTGTTTTGAAGTATTTACTCAAGAGGCACCTACTTAGAGAATATGTGACTGAGCAAATAGACATGGTTGCAGTTCTCTATGCTATATATATACACTGACTCGTGACATACACTACCAAAATGATCTGCAGTGACATGTAAGCCTCTTTAGGAAGTGGGCTAGGATTTCAAATCCTTTCTGGGTCCCCTGAATGCAGTTTTGGGGGAAGCTGGTGTAAAATCAGCTCCGTTCAAGTCCTCCTGGGACGTTCGTACTTACGAGTTGACAAGTCGTAATTACGACATCAGGTGCGTTCAAGTCAGTTTAGTCGGCACAAGATGGCGGTGTACCTTCTTTTAATAAATTACAAGAAAATACAACAGGGTCTGCATTTTTTTACTTGGATTTCATTAACTAGCTGCGTAACAAGAACATGACCAATTTAAGTTTATAGGACAACTAAACTATCAATTTAAACTAATTTGTCAACTACAGACTTTGCATCCATCGATTACGCCGTGTTTCCCTCGAAAATTTCGAGTTTCCCTCTCGTAATAACGACTTTGTGGTGGCGTAAATACGATCTATCCGACATGACTTGAACGCACCTCTGGCTCTCTGTTCTCATGCTCGACTCCACGTGACAATCGAGGTATCCTTACATGGCCCGCTTGTAAGTTGTGCAAGAGCTACAGATTCAAGAACTTTCCACAAACATCTTTATAATAAACTAATAGCTGCTGAATTCAAAGTCATTTCTAATGTAAATGACGGAACCACACTTTTTTGCAAAAGTAGAAATTAGGCACGAAAACAATAACACCGGAACAAAGGCGCGGTGTAGATGGGGTCACATTGTGCATAACTTCATTGGTCAATAATACCGTCAATCGCCAAAGCCTGTTTTTACTGGCTTCTGCAGCAGAACAGCCCGCCTTCCTGCGAGAAAATCACACCATTGGCTCATCGGTCATCCAATAGCATGCGTTCTGGGTTTCGAGAGGCCAACCGCCCTGCCAATTTTCTGTTCTACGTTCCCATTGGCTGATCGGAACACAAAGAGGCGGGGCTTGTTAAGGAAATGCGTTTCCTTGTCTGTGTGTCAGTCGAGCGACGGTGCGGAATGGCGAGCTAAAACCGTTAAACAAAAGCGATCGGTCAGATTTAGTGATCTGCTTCACGGTTTCGGTGCTTCACTAACCGATGGACGTGACCGCGCGCCGCTCGAGGTAGAATCGGCCCCGCCGCTGTGATTTCCCGCTGAGTGTGTGTGTGAGAGAGAGACAGTCAGTGATGATGACCGCGGAGCTGCTGCTGTCTGAGCTGGACAGTCGCTTCTGCGCCGATAACCTGCTGACCAGCGCGGACTGGGGTGAGTAACGTTAACGGCTCGGTGGATGGTTGACAGTCAGTGTGAGGGGAGTCACTCCGGATCCGGCTAGTGTTAGTGTGCGCATGTCTCCCCGAAATACAATCTCCCCTTTTATATTTTTGTAACTACAATCAAATGTAATTATGTGAAAATCTATGAATCAGAGTTTCCTGATGCTTCCTCACTATATGAATGTGTGCATTACATGATTTGCTACAGATCATTAGTAGCTGTAGCTGCTGGAGAAGTGCTGCTAGCTCGGGGTTTGTGGGCGGTTGCCTGGGCGTTGCTATGCGGTTTGATTAGGTATGCTGTGTGGTTGCTAGGGTGTTCTGAGTGGACGCTCAGTGTCTTACAAAACTAATTGTTATCCTTTTACGAATTCTTAACTGTATGGAAGAGTGTTAGTAAAGCAGCCTGTCAAATGTAAACATGTATCAATAGTGTCATTCGTCTGATGGGTTTCCGCAGCAGCTGCTCTGAACCCTGTCCTGTCCCTGGGAACGATACAGAAGCAGCAGCACCTGGAGGCCTGAGATCTTCTGTTACATGCGTCTCGATTTCATTCCCGCTCGGAACACATTGTTAGGGTGCTGTGAAAGGACAGGGTCTGAGTCAGGACTGATGTAGGAGTGGACTGTGTGGAGGATGAGCAATATCTCAGCATATTGCAAATAACAGCTGGTTACATGCAGTCTACAAAACAAATAGCAGAATCTACTAAATGGTTACATAGCCTTGAATACTGTTGAGTCAGTGGTCGGTGACTGTTTTTGTGTTTTGTGAGAGTTGTTTGTGAGTTTCTTGTTTGTCTCGAGCAGTTCAACGGCCCGCTGTTCTTCAGGAAAATCCTTCAGGTCTTGCTTTGGTTTTCCAGCATCTTCAGTTTATTCAAACTCTTTCCAGCTGTGACTGTAGGACTCTGAGATCCGTCTTCACACACTGAGGACAGCCGAGGGACTCGAACGCAACCGCTACGAAAATCCACAAATGTTCATGCTCCGTGCATTAAGAGCTTTTAAAGCTTATAAACTTTTGATAAGGATGTGTACATTTTTCTAATTTTGTTTAAAGATTATATTTTAAAGATTAGGTTGTGGCTCTGCCCTTCAGAAGCTACATAAAACACTTAAAACAAAGATGTTTCCCAGAAAACAATAACTACAATTTACCCTGGTTATCCATTTCATAGAGTTGACACCCTCTGGCTCTCGAAGCTTCATGTTCCCTTGCTATTATATTTACATAATCTGTGTGTGTCTGTGTGTCTGTCAGATGCCTGTCTGTATCAGTGTGAGGATATGGAGGAGGATTTCACCGGAGAACTGAAATATGACACATCGGTACGTTCATAACTCAACACACACACACACACACACACTCCACACACACACACACACACACACACACACACGCACACGCACGCTGCTGGGAATAAGTGTGTGACGTCTGTGTTTGAGTTTGAAGTAGTCCGGCTGTCACATTTAGTAAATTTCCTACTGTCTATATATCAAAACTTAATTTTTGATTAGTAATATGCATTGCTAAGAACTTCATTTGGACAACTTTAAAGATGATTTTCTTAATATTTTGATTTTTTTGAACCTTTCAATTAGTTGTATCTCGGCCAAATATTGTCCTATCCTAACAAACCATACATCAATGGCAATATTATTTATTCAGATGATGTGTAAATCTCAATTTCAAAAGAGTGACCCTTATGAGTGGTTTTGTGCTCCAGGGTCACAAATAGCCTGAACAGCTACGATATTTTATTGCCATTAGCGACAGACTCCAGAAAATACTGTCCTAAAAATACAGCATAATAAGTCTAATGTAGTGTTTGTTTGCTGGTCAAGTGATGTGTCTGAGTGTCTCTGTCTGTCTGTCAGCTGGACCGTGATCTTGTCCTCACGCTGGACCCTGATAACCCCACTGCACCATGGAAGAACCTGGAGAACCCCTTCACAGGTGGGACGCCAGCACCTCGTCTGCTTTATAATGCAGTTCTCATGATTGTTCCTCTAGTTCAGCAGAGTCTAAGGCTCTTTATTAGCAAAGACAATATTAGAGAAATTCAAGAGAACTCTACAGTGTCAGGTAGGGAGCTCATTTTTCATTTTTGCTTATAAATATGACAATCTTTGGCATTATTCAGCTCATAAACACCCATAAACAGGACGTTTTTACTGTAGGCGCGCACACACGGAGAGTGCAGTTTATTGGCTTTTTTCAGAAGGACTCTGACCTGCAAACATTTGTGTTTAATGATTGAATGCTGATGCTTAGAGCTCAGCAACTGCTACTGTATACCAGGCTGTGTTTCTCTACTTGATAAAAAATAATAAATAATAACCTGATCCCTCACTGTGTGTGCTGTGTCTTTGTTTGTAGGTGAAGTGTCAGTCATGAAGGATGAAATGACGATAACACAACCTCTGTCAGTGGACATGTGTAAGTGACCCTGTCTGCATGCTTCCCCGTCTAGTGTTTTTTTGTAAGTAGGATCTGTTCAGGATTATTATTATTTTAATTAATGCATTGAAATTGTTGTAGATGATTAGATGATGATTATAGATGATTTGGTTTTCAGACAGTGAGTTTTGCCGCAGTCTTGTTTCAGATGAAACTCTGGTGAAAGGCATGAGTAAGTTGTGTGTGTGTGTGTCGTAGTTTTCCAGGTGAAGACTGAACCTCCGTCACCTGCGTCGTCTCTGACCTCTGACAGCTCCATCCCATCTTTACCTGAGCCTCAGGTGTGTACAGCCTGTCCCTGTGACTCCAGACAGTGCAGCTCTTCTGCAGGCTGTGAAACAGTGCTCTTATGATTCAGATGATACAGTAAATGAAATATTTCCGGGAGTTAAACCATGACGGGAGTATGCATATGTCATTAGTGTTGTTTCAGTGCAGCTGAGCAAACATTAGGACTCTTCCTGTCTTCACTTCTGTTTCTCAGGTGAAGAGCGAGAACCCGCCCACTCCACCGTACATGTGTGGAGACGTGCTGCCGCCGCTGACCAGTGTGGAGGTGACCCTCGCCAGCATCACTGCTCCACATCAGCCTCGGACCATACAGCCACACACTCTCAGCAGCCTCGACACACACACCACAGGTGTGCTCTCACACTCACTCACACACGCACACACGCACTCTCACCCTCACACACACACACACACACACACACCCACACATACACTCTCAGCAGCCTCGACACACAAACCACAGGTCTGCTCACTCACACACACACACACACACACACTCTCAGCAGCCTCGACACATAAACCACAGGTCTGCTAACTCTCTCACACACACACTCTCTCTCTCTCACACTGCCTGCTGCTGGTTTAAAGTGAGCAAACAGGACGGGTGACTCTCTCCGGTGTAAGAGATTGTTCTGAGTAACATGACTCTTACTGTCACTGTAACTGAGTTCTGTTCCTGTTCCTCTAGATTGCCGTGTTCTCTCATATTTGTTTGAATGTTCTGCAAGAGCAAACGCAGCAGGAAATAAACTTTATGCAAATTAAAATACTGAAAGCACTTGATGAATGTCTTATCTGATTATTTCCATAGAGTTACCAGGGCCTGTCAGACTCATAAAAGTGTCTTAAAAGGAGCTTGTTTGACTTGACCTCTATTCAGATTCTTCAGATTCACACACTGAAGAACAGACCCAAAGTCGTCATTCACTGAAGACTGTCTGCCATGCCTTTGGTTGCCACATGTCATTGGTTCTTGAGTGTGTACTGAATGTGATTGGAGAATGTTTTCTGTCAGTAATGACCAGAGGTCTGTCAGCTAATGTTTAGCGTGTGTGTGTGTTCAGTGCTCTCCTCCGCAGCGACGCTGAAGGCCAGCAGCATTCTGAGCAGTAAGCCTCTGATCCAGCCCAAACCGGTGTGTGTGGCTCAGAGCAGCAGTCCGGCCAAAGCTCTCCTCCTGCAGAGCATCCCCGTCCCAGCCATCGAGCAGAACATCACGCCGGGTGAGATCCGCCGCCTCCACAGGAACACACCCAACGCCTTTCAGTGGAGGAAACACTGCCTCAAAGCTTAGAAAGCAAGAGACTATCACTGCATTAGCAAACACCAATGCTATTCACAAAGTAGTATAGAGATTGTCTTAACATGCTTTGGTCCGTCCTCTTCTTAAAGGGCTGGTTGATTGTGATTTCACTTTTTTAACATTAGTGTGTAATGTTGCTGTTTGGGCATAAACATTATCTGCAAAGTTATGATGCTGAAAGTTCAGTGCAAATGGAGATATCGTCTTTTAAAATTATGTCAATTTAATGCCTACAAAAATGGCTCATAGGAATTACAACAAGTTACTTCCCGGGTTTGTGACATCTCAAACCCAGAAATGTTCATAAGCCCCGCCCCCGGGAACATAGAGATAGAGCGACACGCATCATAATCTGAAGACCACGCCCACCGGGGGGAAAACTATCCAACGCTCTCCATTGACTTTGTATTGCGGGAAGCTGCCTCCTTGTCATTTCTGACTTATAACAAAAAACAGAGCAATGTCTAAAAGCTGCTGTGTGACAAGGTGTACAGTAAACAAGCTAAAAAACCCAGAACTACGTTTTTACAAGCTGTCGACCCAAAAAAACGAGCGTTTAGGACACAAAAGTAGAGCACAATGTGTCATATTACTCTGAGAACTGCGCCCACTGGAGAGAAACGTCGGCGACAGGAATCATTCATTGTTAACCATGTCAAAGGATTATTTCACCACTCGATGTGAACCTGAGAGGAGGAGATATATTGAGAAACTAAACTTTATTGGTCTAAGTCAGTGCCCCTTTTCCGTACCTTCCTTTTGTTTGAGAAATTATCCAACTGTATGGCCCAACGTGAGATACCCTGACATCTACAACTATTTGTGTCCTTAAACGCTCATTTTTTGGGGTGGACAGCTTGTAAAAACGTAGTTCTGGGTTTTTTAGATTGTTTACTGTACACCTCGTCACACAGCAGCTTTTAGACATTGTTCAGAAACGACAAGGAGGCAGCTTCCCACAATACAAAGTCAATGGAGATTGTTGTTCAATGTAGAATGCCCCCCCCTATATGTATAACAGTTCGTTCTGATCCTCGAATCCGACTGGACAAGAGACTTTCTATTGATATTTCCACCTGCGTGTTCTAGACGGGCTGTCAGTCAGTGCAGTTAGATTGCTGCACCACAAGGTGGTGGAAAGGGACTGTCTTTGAGTAAATCTATAAACCGTTCATTCAACTACACGTTCAAAAATGCTGATTCATTTAAAGAGAGATGTAAAGAATATCTCTTTGGATTTGAGACTTTAGTCTTTGCAACTTTACAGATCTTCTTTATGCACCAAGAGCTTGTAACACTCTAAAGAGAAAGCAAAAATTGAAATCGCATCATATGACCCCTTTAATCTTGTGCAAAAACGCATAAAATAACATTTAATTTCAACGTTTACTCTCCTTGCAGACTCTGAAGCAAAGCATGCTGGGAGCTAGAAATCTGCTGTAAATCTTTCCATTTGAGTTCTGCTCAAAATAATCACTTATTGAGTTCACATAACTTTTTTTTTACCTTTCAGTAATATTTGAGTGAAATAAAGTGTGCGTGAAATAATCCTGCGCACATCAGTAATGACGATGTAGTGAGATTATAAAGCTCAACTCAAGAAGGAAAAACAGGCCCAAACTGAGCCCAAATATGCAATTTAGTGCTGATAGTATGTGTTTTATTGTCACACTTCTCAAATATAATGAAGTTAGTGTCGTTGCTGCCAGCACTGCTTCTGTAGCAGATACATGATAACCAGCATGTTATCTGTTTGTCTCCTGCAGTGGTTCTGTCTCAGTCCGTGTGTCTGGCTTCTGCTCCCGCTATTGTTAAAATGGAGCCTTTGTCTCCCAGCATGCCTCACTGCACCAGCCCGTCAGCCCCGCCCCCCAGCAAACCCATCATCCCAGCGTCCAGCCTGCCCGGAAACAGCTGTGCTGACATCAACGTGAGTGACTGCAGAACATGTGGAGTTACTTCATTCAATGATCAGATCTTTTGCTCACTGTGCAACAAGATTTCTGTTCAGAAGAGAAAATGTGAGCCGTGCTGGCAACATGAGTGTGAATGCGCACGGTCTAATTTTGAGCTACAAGCAAAAGAAGTGAAAAAAGTCAGTGGTGGTCGAATTTGAGGTTTTCACAAAAATGAGTTAATTCTTCATCTTCTAGAGATCCCAATGCTCCAAATAGTAATTAAACACCTAAAATGATCTTTATTGATACGTTTTCTGAGAGGAGTACCTTTTTCTCTGCTCACTTCTGGACGACTGCTCCTGCTGCTGAAATATGCCTTGGCGAGATTCATACAAACATAATCTGTTATGTCTTACATGAACGTTTAGTTAATAGTTGGGGAAAAATCTGACGTGTAACATTATATTAGATTAACCATGCTTTTCAGTAGGTCTTAATATAGATCTGTCTCAGTGTTAATCATATATTAAATAATCATATATTAAATGTCAAGTCGCCTTTATTTATATAGCGCTTTTAACAATACAGATCGTGTCAAAGCAACTGTACAGAATTAATTAGGAAAATATTGTGTCAATAATGCAAAGTGACAATAGTAAACACTAATTTTCAGTTAAAGGCAGTTCATCATTGAATTCAGTGATGTCATCATCCAGCTCAGTTCAGTTTAAATAACATCTGTGCAATCAAGTCGACGATATCGCTGGAAATTAAGTGTTTCCAACTAAGCAAGCCAGAGGCGACCTTGAGGATTTATGAATATGAGTTAGCAAATCTTTAGCCATCCACTAGGGGGCAATCTGACTCCCACTGCTAGTCGACAGTTAGAGCAGAGTTGGCTCGAGTATCAGTCATGCTTATTGACAGTGTAAGATGATTTACGGTTAGCCATGTCGGAAATCCAACCACGGATTGGCATGTTGTTATCTCAGAAACAGGCTCAGCCATCACATTGAATCAGGTAAACTGGTTATATATTTATGTTTCAGTATAATTACGCACGCTATACCAGGGGCGGTTCTAAACCCTTTTTAGGTGGGTTTCAGCCCCCCTATCTGTCACCTTAGCCCCCCAAAACTATCTTAACGATCAGGCCAGTGCTGCTTCCTCAAGAAAGTTTTTCATTCTCACGTGTTTTAAGTCTTGTCAGTTTAAACATTAAAGTAATTTTAAACCATTTAAGCCCAAGACATCTCAATGCGGTACGCACGCGCTGTGATAAAGCGTTTCTATGCGCACCGCGACAAACAGATAGCCTTCTCAGACAGCAGGTGAATACCAATGGCTGTCTTGACAAGTATCCTTGTAAGCACAGTCGGTTGTTTTAAGTGAATGTAAACAGTAAAGAAAATATCAAATGTACATCAGTATAACGGATCCGTGCATTTCTTATGTAAATAATGTTAATCAAAAAGAGCAAAAGAAAAACAATTCGC